ACAGAACTTACCTCCTTTGTAAAACACTCTGACATCTGTGGACAGAACGTTGCCAATGACCAGAGTCCTGTTATCACAATAACACACGGCCAACCTCGCATCCCAGGGTTTGCAGCTGGTGGTACAGCAGTGCCACAGGGTAGGTGGGCAGAGCAAAGCGACCGCGTCCTGCGATGCAGCCCAGAAGGAAACAGCGCGGTGGTCCAGCAGGAACACAGCATTCAGCTGGGGCACTTAACTGGAGAGAGAAAAATCAGGACAGCTCACTAGGAGGGGAGAAGTACAGAGGCCAAGAGCAAGCAGAGATAGAACAAACACTCAAAGAAGTATTTGCTTAAAGTATTAGATTAAAAAATGTATTATAAAGTATACTTAATTATTGCGCATTTTACCCTGCAGAGAGCAAGAGGCAGAAGCTGAAGTGCTCTGAGCTGAGGCAGGGATAGCTGGGCTTTACACCTGCACAGAAACCGGCAACATTGTAAGAAGGAAACAAAGCAATTTCACTGCTTTTATGAGCTGAGGAAGCAGCAAGATTTCCTTGTACAGTTGGCTTGGAGAGAGAAAATACAACTGACCACCCAGATGAAATCAGCTGCGCACCTCTAATGCCCGTGAGTAAAGCGCATGCATAGAATCATAGAATCACAGAATCGTTTAGGTTGGAAAAGACCTTCAAGACCATCCAGTCCAACCATTAACCTACGCTACCAAGTCCACTCTAAACCAATCAAGGGTAGACGAGACTGAACCATGTCCCAAAGTGCCACATGGAGCAACCTCCCCGGCCATTAACATGCTCACGCCAGGGCAGAGCTATTAAGATGTTTAACTGACATGGCAATAACTAAGGGCTTTGAGAGTTTCAGTTATGGAGTTGTACTGTGGAAGGTGGAAAATACACAGCTGAGTATAGAAAGACGGATGTGCTCCTGACTGTGTAGTATTACCTGCCTAAATCATAACCTGAGGGACAACGGGGCTGGGAGGGATGTCTTGGCCATACCCTGCCCCAAAGCGTGGACAGAATAGTGTCCCTGAGGCGTCACCAGATGGGTCAAAAGACTTGTCCATTCGAGGAGGAATTGCCCTCTGCAATTGTCTTTGCTCTCTCCTGGGCTCCATCGTTCCCTCAACGCACATTTTGCAAAGCTAAACGACCTCCAGCTTCACCTTTGAGCCCAAATTTGCGCCTCCTCCACAAACCACAGCAGCTTGCCCGGTCACCCCGACGCCCAGACCAGGCACATTTCTGGCTCTGCACCAACACGAGCATCCTTTGTCTATGTATGATTTTACCCACATTTCAGATACTCGTCCTCCTTCTTTGTCACTGCTGCAAAACAGAGGCCAAAAAATGCTGCTTTGTGGATCGTTTGATGGCTTTTTCTACCTTTTAATACCTCTGAGACCTGCTTACTCCCATCATCATCCTTTTTTGCCTCTATTCTCTCCAGCAGTGACATCCTGCCCGCCAGTACGGGAAGCTCAGCTGCCACTCAGAAGAGCAGTGGGAGGCAAAGTCTGGCACTCAGGAGGCTCAGCCCAAGTGGCAGAGATGGGTGATGGCTCTGCCTGCCGAAGAGCAAGCGTCAGCGTTGAAGGCAGCTCCCACGCTGCTCAGTCTGGCAGCAGTAGTGCTCTGTGGTGGACGGCTCTGGAGTGGGTGGGTGCTGGGTTTCTCTGGGTCACGTCTGTCTGTCTTCTCTAGAAGTGCAAAAATCTCCCCTGTTGCAAAGCTGCTTCTGAAGCTGAATTATTTCTCCTGAATCCAACTTGCAGAAATTGCAGTCAACAAGACACTCTGAATACGCCTGCTTTTATGCTAATTCAGGGCACTTTGCCTTCATAATATCAGCATCCCCTCTGAAGCAGAGAGATTAAATTTCAACCAGTTCCATTTATGACCCCAGACTGTGCCAAGACCGGACCCAAAGAATGAGCACAAAGCACATCTGTCTCCATGGTCTCACAAAGATACTTCACGGTGTTTCCCAAAGTGTGCAGATCCCCTTTTCCCCTACGTTGTTCTGTGAATGTGGAAAAGCTGCAGCCACACAGACTGCACGTGCCCCTGCAGTGCTGGAAGCCTGATATGCAAAAAATCAAGAAGCAGCGGTGG